AAAAACATAACAAAAATTTTTTTTGATCAACTACATACAAATAAATAATATTTTAACTTACATTCCAACACTACTCTTATAAAAACTTCCTCTAACAGAAGAAAACTTGGTAAAGTTTTATATCTTAAGACACTCTTCGTTAATTGCAAAACCACAAAATTAATTTACGTTACAACTATCATTATTTTCCTCTCTTCTTCGATATCATGTTCAGAAAGTCATAACCCGTAAACAGCAGAAAAAAATATATTAAAACATAGTTTTGGTGAGTTTAACGGTTAATGTTTGTACGAGTTTAACGGTTAACGTTTGTATGAATCCAAAATATTAAACTACTTTTTCGAAGACATTTTGGATTGTACACTACTGTTACATGTACTTTATTAGCAAAATTTGATACAATCATACATAGGTCCAACACCAAAAATGAAAAATTATTTATTGTATTATATGTTAAAATTGGACATCATTATATAATATTAAATTTTACAGTCATTTTATATGATAAGCAATTATTATTCTAATGACTCAACCCACTTATAAAATAATATTATTAAATTAACATCTCTTTTTAGAAGCATAAATAAAAATAAGAGAAAAATAGAAAAAAAAGCGATTGTATATCAATTCCAATTAGGATAAACAACATAAAAGAAAAAGCTATAACCAAACCAACATAAAAGAAAAAACTATAACTAAACCTATTTCCTTCGTATTTGTTGTGTTAACTTTTGGTTTCAAATAGTATCAATGTCTTCTACAATAACATAAATTTTGTTAATCGTGTTAACTTTTGGTTTCAAATATTATCAAAAAATGATTGCATATCAATTCAAATTAGGATAACCAGAAATTAAACAACATAAAAGAAAAAGCTATAACCAAACCTATTTTCTTCATATTTATTGTGTTAACTTTTGGTTTCAAATAGTATCAGTGTCTTCTACAATAACATAAATTTTGTGCTACAATATAACAAAAATTGAAACTAAAATCTTCATTTATACCCATAAAATAGAAAATGGTGAAAACATTCAGCTGCAACTAATCAAATAAAATGAATATTTTGCATTTAAATTAAATGAAATATAATTTCAAAGGTAATAATTCATATATAAATTATAAATTAATAACTATAACAAATCAAAGTCACAATCCGCGCGTAGCGCGGAAAAATGATCTAGTGTTACATAATAGGAGCAAACATAATGTAATGTGTTCATGGCATTGGAAGTTAAAATAGTTGTTCTAAACTCCCCTACACTTATGTGAATTTGTTGGACCTGGGAACAAAAATATTGGTGTTATTTTCAATCAAAAAAGTAAAAAAAAAGTAAAAAAAAAAAAGTAAAAAAAAAAGTAAAAAAAAAAAGTAAAAAAATGAAAAAAAAATAGAAAAAAGTATACGGAGAAAAAGGAAAAACGATTTTACATCACCGCCTTTACACCATCTCACTTTCCCAGCAGCTAATCAATCTCCAGAGACCCCAATCAAGATCCTCCACACTTCCTACTACGAACCACAACCTTCTCATAGCCGAGGAAGTAGCCGTCAAACGCAGCCACCGCAAACGCCAACTCCGCATCGAGCCACCTCTCAACGATCTCTGCTGCGATCCCTCATCTCTTTCTCCAAAACGCGATCCAAACGCTTCCCGTCTCCCTGACTCAACCTCCTCCTTAATCGGCGCGCGTCTCAACCTCCACAACTGAGTCCAAAGAAGAGATTGAACGCCTAAAGGATACTCAAATATCCTTGTTGGAGAAGGGTCAGAGAGAGATAACTGATTTGAAAGCAAGATTTAACCTAATGGAAAAGGAAAATGATTCTCTTTAGGCCGATCATATTGCTGAAAAACTACTATTGGAGCAATATCAGGACCTCCTCAACAATCTTACTCAAGAGACTAAATGCCTAAAGGAAGGTGTTGCTTCCAAGAATACTCAAATATCATCATGGGAGAAGAAAGTGGGCGAGGGTGACAGAGAGGTGAATGATTTGAAAACAAGATTCATCTTAATCAAACAGGAAAATGCTTCTCTTAAGGATCTCCTCAACAAGCTCACTCAAGACATTAAATGCCTAAAGGACCTAGTATATATATATGTGTGTGTTTAGACGACAATGTTATAAAAAGGCAATATATATATATGGACGATAATGTTATAAAAAGGTATTCACTTTTAATGGATGAGATCTTAATTAGTCATATATGGTTGTTTATTAAAAAATCTAACGAAATATTCTTTTGTGAAAGATGTAAAAAATGAACTAAATACTACATAAATCATATTTAAGTTTTTCAACATTATTGACTTATAAATTTTTTTTATTAAAAAATTTATCTACTAAATATTAAAATTCAATTTTAAAATGTCAACATATTATATTAAATTTAAAGTTAATTAATTAAATCTGTAAATTTGCGGATAATCACTAGTTGAAGTTAAATAGAAAGGAAATTGAGTCCATCTACAAATGGACAGCTATCACTTGAGTCTTTCATATTGTCAACAGCGTTAAACAAAAACGTTTTGCAACTTTGTTTTGTCTATTCTTGTTTTTTAAACTTTTTAATCCTTGTCGTCCAAAAAAGAAATTTAAATCCTTCTAATATTTAGAGATTTGTAGTGAGACTACTCTTCACTTCATAAGAAGAAACACTCTACTACCGGTGCACTACGACCCACCACTCTCAATATTTGAATTTATAATTAAAAAATATATCTATTCTATTAAAATAGAGTCCTAGAAATTATCTACCATAAAAATTTTCATTAAATTTTGACATGTTTGAGTTTGTTAGGGTGTAACATGATTTATGGATCATATCTAAATATTCGACAATTAAAGATTACAAGATTAGATATTAGATATACATGCATATAGTTGATTGGTTTACTTAAATTATACCAATGATTTGAACTCTACATTAGTTAAACCAAACGTCAAACAATGTATTGAGTTATAGTATATTACAATTTAAATAGACCGACGTATAATTACATTCAATACTTTTATGTCATCGTAACATCTTCCTCATCATCTTTATATATTTGGTTCTTCTTTTTGACTATAATTGTTAGATATATTTGACTGTTTTTATACTCCATTATTGTAAGATATACCATAATATGTCATCATATAGACTTCGAGCATATAATATAAGTGCCAACATTTGATATCGATCTGTAATTTATTTTTAAAAATATAGTAAAAGTTATAAATTACATATTACATTTATTTAAATCATATTATAGCAAATAATTTTGTTACACTTTGAACTTAAATACAAAGAATTGTACCTAGTATTATCAAATCTATGCTAACTTGACTTGCACACCAATTCATCAATGTGTATATTACAGATTTATTTGTAAACAACTTTAATTAGAGTGACGAGATCTTCCATATATTTCAAAGTGTATTTTCTTTTCCAAAAACAAATATCCTCCTTATTTTTCGAATTCCCTAATACTCACTAATCCATCTACATTCATAATCTACCAGATCTTTGTGTAGGATATCATCTTCACCCGAATATGGTAAGACAATCTCCAACTCCACTCCATAATTTACTGTTAAATGGAATGGGAAATAAAGTAGTGAACAAACAAAAAAAATCATTACTCTATTTTCAAGTAAAATTGTGGAAATGCTCTAACAACTTCAACAGAATATGGTTATGATAATATGCAATCAAGATTTTCAAAATGGAAATCTAATTGCAAATAAAATCATAACATAAATATAAATATAAATTTATATCCTTTTTGAAAATAAAAATGAAAAAAAATTGTTTCGCCCTTGAAAAGGATGGGTCAAAATCTAGTATTTTTAAAAAAATTTGGGATATCTAGATTGAAAACCAACTACTCTCAAAAGAGATAACTAGTCTGGCTTCAGCTTCGGGTTATCTATTGAATTTTAAGACATGGTTTTACTTTGTCTAGCCAAGCAGTTGGTACCAAATTAAACTCAATAGTCAATACTAACGAATTTATGTTTTGTCTCAGATCATCTACTTTATTAAAATTGAAGTACATATACAAAATATCTTGAGGCTTGGCATGTACCCATATCAGTCCTGCATTCAGTTTCCCCTAGAACTAAATTATCATTATTTGGTTAGTTTGGGCTTGGGCTTCCGTTCAAGTAGTTTGCATGGTGGATCGTAATAGATGATCGGTTTATCCTTTGGCATTAGTCGAAAGGTATTCCAAACTCGAATCAAGCAGTGTGGTAACTAGTCCACTCTGTAGCACTAAGTGCGTTCCTCCTGAGGCCGACCGGATCAGCCGATAGGATTTATCAAAAAAAAATTATTTACAATGGCATACCACTGAAATTACTAATTAACCTATTTTAATATTTTTTCTTTTTTTCATATTTAACTAATGCATTTCCAAAATTAAATATTAAATTTAGACGAGTAAATTTTAAAATATATATTATCACTCATACAAATAAATATTTATTTATAAAAAAAAAGTAAAAACAAATACGAGTGCAGATGTACTTAACTGGTACTTTTTTTTATATGACATCAATAAATTGTAAACAACTACTAAAATAATTCAGTGTAATACGATTAACTTTGTAAAATGCATCATAAAAGAATAAAAATAAAAATAAAACCCGCACCGAACGTGCAGGTGAAGTTCTAGTTTCTTTTATTATCAAACTATCACTACTTGGTTCGTGGTCTTTTAAACAATTTAAAATTTTATAGTTTTAATGGGATTGTTTGTCGTAGAGATCTCTAATTGTTGATATCACTAACATGGACACCAAGTAAAAGGTTTCACAGTGATTCACTGTTGCGAAGAAGAAGAAGAAACAGTGTGTGTTTGTGTCATTTTGTAGCAATTCTGATTCTTTGTGTGTTTTCTATGGAGGTTTGTATTTGTTTACCCTTTCCACTGGTTGTTTTCTCTGCATCTGATTATGATTAGGTGAGCAGAGACGACTACTTGAAGTAGAGGAAAGAAATAATAAAATTGCTGCATATGCTTACATTTTAATTAGCTTGTATGTTGCAGAAAGACATACATAGTTTACTATCAAAACCTGTCAACCCAAACAGAACTCAAGGATCTTCGGCTTGAAGATCAGTCTCTATTGCATAATACAGCAGTAATCTATACCCCTATATACTCCCACTCCTGTAATTGAGATGTGACAATTGGATACTGAGCCCACACATCCCTCGTTTGAACAGGCTTCTTGTCAAAAGTCCTGAGCACAAAATCAGACATTTGCGTGATAGTGATGTCCAGTCGCCTATCCTCACAAAAACTGGTTGCTGAAAAGAAGCCAGATACAAGGACGAGCTCATTGTTAAAACTCCATGTTAACGGTGAGTGAATGCTGGTTTGAAGAACTACATAATTGTGCAGATGCAAGAATCCGAGTCATCGTCATCTGAATCGCTTACTTCACTGCAAGCATAAAAAGGGAGGCAGACGTAAGATAAACTGTTAACAATTCTTAAACGGAACAAAGAAAGTTCCTGAACAGAAGACAACTACTCAATTAGACATAACAGAGTAATTGATACTATGGACTATCAAAAAGAAGTAAACAGTAATCTGAATTCTACAAGCTTTTCCAATGGTTTTGTTAATGTTCCTGTACCGCTCAGATTCCACAATGCCCTCAAAAACAGGCTTACAAGATTGTTTCTGCCGTCGTCTATAGTTTAGTGAACTAAACCGTTGTTACAAAAAGGTGCTCAAACGCTAAATAAATATGTAACCATCTATTTGTCACATACTCATCAACAAAATCACTAAGTTAAAGAGTTCCAGGTCAATGCTTATTAACTATGAGAAGTAACTGCAAGAACATATCTATTGAAACCATTTCTAACCAAAAAGGCAACCTGTTAAAGATCAAGAACACCACAAGGTATCAGTCAAATCAAATACAAACTTAAGGTTAATGATATCGACCACCCATATTAAGTAGCAGAGGAAACAAAAGAATCAACAGAGACTTGCTGTGTTGATAATAGTTTCTACCTTGGTTCATATACTAAAATCTCAGCAAGGTTGTCTCCTTTGTTATCAGTCCATTGCACAGTCCTCTTAATCTTGTCAGTATTTGTCGACATCCCTCCTTTCCTAGGAGGAGGCAACAAACACTGTGACTCACTATCTTCTTCCTCCTCCTCCTCACAGACTTGATCCTCAACTTCACTGACAATAATAGCCTTATGATTCTCAAATCCATTGGCTTCTTTAGCCTCTCCACGTCTCGTATCCATAAGACAGATCACACACCAACAGAGATATGGAAAGTCTACCCAAATCCAAAACAATCTGGATAAGATTAAAGATTCTTCCTTTTTTCTTTCCTAATCCATGTCAAACCCAATCCACATGAAACCCACAATCAAGCAGCACAATTTGGATCTTAATGGTTTGAGCTTGATCCTAATAAACCCTAATTACACAAAAGGCAAAAGTCAACGATCACAAGTAAACCCAGATCGAAATTGAGATTGAGATTGGCATTACTTACGTAGTCAATGGCGGCGGCGGCGTTTTCTCTCCGGTGGACGACGGAGAGAAAAAAAAACTCCAAAACTTTTTTTTCTCGGGAAAATGAGATGTGAGAGAAGGTGAGAAAGAGAGGTTCGTTAAATAGAATCAACGGCTGAGGTTTTTGCATATCAGATTAAAGCTTTCTTTGGGGAGAATGGTAGGTTATCTCGTTAATGCGGCCGTTGACTATTTACCAACTTATCTATTTTTATTACTTTTACAAGCTCAACCTATAATTTCATATGGCTTTGAATTTTTCATTAACAGTTGACAAAGTTTAAATTAAACTGGTTGACAAAAAATAAATAAATTGAACTTAAAGAAATGTAGTATTAAATAAAATAATGATTTTAATGAGACTAGAACTTTTTTAGTAATTATTAAAGAAAGTCAGATAATAGTTCCACGGTTTGCTGTTTTATAAGTAACTTCAAGATTAATTTTAAATATTAGTGGTCATCATCACAAAGATAATGGATAAATTTTACTAAATTTTAATTTGTGCATAAAAATTAACAATAAGAAATTTTAATTGTCATATATATATATGACTTGGATTGGCCACTCTTTTACTCTCCTTTTTAACGTTTTATGTAGTATGAAATAAAACCTCTAAGATTCATACATAGGCAAAAGCCAACAAGAATAAATGCAAAAGAAAAAAAGAACAAAGGCCACTCTTTTACTCAAATCAGGGTAAAGAAGGATAATGAATTAGTACGTGGGGTTTGTTGGATAAGCTTGTATCTCAAGTTTCCTTTATTTTCTCTTGGTGTTTTCCTTATCTTATCGAAGTTGTGTTTATCTAATACTATTAGGTTTAAGTTATGTGTAGTCCTATATATATGGGCTACATGGTTTTACGTTTTGGTGTGTGAGCTTTGCAATTTCTGAGTTGTGATTTGTGAGCCGAACTTTGGTGATTAATATATTGGGTCTTCTCGTGAACTTTGAGTGAATCTATATTTGGTATCAGAGCGTCAGGATTAAAAGAATCTTGAAACCTTGCGATGGAAGAAACGAAGAATGAGATCGTGTTACATAAAGATACAAAACCTGCAACTATCAAATACTCTATGTTAACTGATACAAACTACACGGTTTGGGCCATCAGGATGAAAGTAGTTCTCAGGGTCAGCGAAGTATGGGAGTCAATAGATCCAGGAAACGCCGATGTAAAGAAAAACAACATGGCGACTGCACTTTTGTTTCAGTCTATACCAGAAGCCCTGATAATGCAAGTTGGTGAGTTAAATTCAGCAAAAGAAATCTGGGATGCGATAAAGACGGTACATGTGGGAGCTGAAAGAGTTAAGGAAGCTAGATTGCAAACTCTAATGATTGAATTTGATAAGCTGAAGATGAAGGATGGAGACACAATCAATGCCTTCAGCAATAAGCTATCTGAACTTGCATCAAAATCCGCCTCTCTTGGACAAGTAATTGAAGAACCGAAGCTTGTGAAGAAGTTCTTAAAGAGTCTACCAAGGAGGAAATTTGTTCATATGGTTGCATCTCTTGAACAGATGCTTGATCTCAATACAATAAAATTTGATGATGTTGTGGGAAGATTGAAGGCCTTTGAAGAAAGAATTGCAGAGGATGACGACGAGGCAAGCGATGAATCTGGAAAGTTGATGTATGCTAATACAAATTCTAGTCAAGAAAACTATGGTAATAGCTACAACAACAGAGGACGAGGACACGGTAAAACTAACTTGAGAGGTAGAGGCCGTGGCCACTTTGGAAGCTTTCAGGCACAAAGAGAAGCGTATAAGCAAGGGAAGGGTGTAGGAGACGCCTCACATATTACCTGTTTCAATTGCGATAAAATTGGAAACTATGCAACAGACTGTCCGGACAAGATGTTGAAACTTCAAGAAACCGTTGAGCGCAATGAAAAGAAAGAAGATGATACACGAGAAGCTGATGCATTAATGATGAATGAAGTCGTCTATTTGAATGAAAAGAATGTGAATCCGAAAAACTTTGATGTTGAGACAGATACAAGGGACGTGTGGTATCTTGATAACGGTGCTAGTAACTACATGAGTGGAAATCGTATATTCTTCTGTGAGCTGGATGAAACCATCACTGGTAAAGTGCGATTTGGAGATAACTCACAGATAGATATATGCGGAAAAGGTGCGATATGATTCATCATAGGTGAAGGAAGGAAAGTGTTAAACGATGTATACTACATACCAGCATTACGAAGCAATATAGTATCGTTGGGTCAAGCCACGGAGGTTGGTTGTGAGGTAAAGATGAAGGACAATATGCTAAAGTTAGTTGACAAATTTGGAAATCTGATGATTGAAACAACGAGGTCAAAGAATCGACTTTATAAGGTTATACTGCAAGTACATGTTGCAGAATGTCTACAAGCGACAACATATGACAACAACTCCCTGTGGCATGCTCGGTTAGGTCACATCAACAAAGAAAAATTAAAGACCATGATCAAGCAGGAGCTAGTTACAGGCATTCCTAGAGTTGACAGCAACAATGAAACTTGCGTATCGTGTCTAAAGGCCAAACAAGCCAGGAAACCCTTTCCTCAAGCCACTAGTTATCGAGCATCAAGACCTTTGGAACTAATACACGCAGACCTTTGTGGTCCTATTTCTCCGCCAACACCAGCTCACAAAAGATACATCTTTGTCCTTATTGATGACTTCTCACGCTATATGTGGACAGTGTTGATCAGAGAAAAAAGTGAAGCACTTGAAAAATTCAAAATTTTCAAGTTACGTGTGGAGCAAGAGACTAGAGCTGAGTTGAAAACATTGCGAACTGACAGAGGAGGTGAGTTCGTGTCTCAAGACTTTCAATCATATTTTGAAAAGCAAGGTATTAGTCGCCACTTGACTGCACCCTACTCTCCTCAACAAAACGGAATTGTGGAACGACGAAACCGAACTTTACTTGAAATGACAAGAAGCATCTTGAAGCATATAAACCTACCAAATCAGCTCTGGGGTGAAGCAATAAGACACGCAACGTACTTGATCAATAGAGTTGCGACAAAATCTTTGGAAAAGGAGACTCCGTATGAAGCTTTAAAGACTCGAAAACCAAATCTCTCACATCTAAGAGTATTTGGATGTGTCTGTCATGCAAGAACTGAGAGAGCAGGTCGAAGAAAGCTTGATGATAGGTCTAGAACTCTTGTCCACTTGGGAACAGAACCAGGATCAAAGGCTTATCGCCTCCTTTATCCATAGACAAGACGCATCATTGTTAGCCGCGATGTTGTGTTTGAGGAAGACAAGGTGTGGCATTGGACAGAGATGATAGACCAGGGTGAACAGAGTTAGTTCATAGTAAATCAAATAACGTTGAGTGAAGTTTCAGGAAGTGGAGAGACACCACTCACGAATAATGAAAACACTGCTGAAGTAAATGAAGAGGAAGAATGTGACAGTGAGAACGAAGACCCTCAACCTCAAACTAGACGATCCACCAGGGTAAGATCGAAATCCTCCTACTTAGAGGATTACATTCTACTTGCAGAAGAAGAAAGTGAACAACTATTGATGATGATCAATGATGAACCGTGGGATTTCAATGAAGCTAAGGAGATGGAAGTATGGATAGATGCGTGCAGAGATGAGCTCTTTTCGATAGAAAAGAACAACACATGGGATCTTGTTGAGTTACCATCAGATGTAAAACCAATTGGTTTGAAATGGGTATTCAAAATCAAACGTAATGCCGACGGAACGATCAACAAATATAAGGCACGTCTAGTAGCTAAAGGTTATGTGCAGAAACACGGCATAGATTATGATGAGGTGTTTGCTCCGGTGGCGAGAATCGAGACAATACGACTAATCATTGCTTTAGCTGCAACACATGGTTGGGAGATACACCATCTTGACGTCAAAACAGCTTTCTTACACGGGGAACTCAAAGAAAACGTATTTGTTACTCAGCCTGAAGGTTTTGTCGTATCTGGACAAGAACACAAGGTTTACAAGCTAAGGAAGGCTCTATACGGTCTTCGACAAGCGCCTAGAGCATGGAATATAAAGCTGAATACGATCTTGAGAAACCTAAAGTTCAACCGATGTTCAAAGGAGCCTTCCCTTTATCGCAAGGAAGGGAACAAAGAACTGCTTATTGTCGTGGTGTATGTAGATGATTTATTGGTTACTGGTTCATCTGTTGGAAGCATATTGGAGTTTAAACAAGAAATGGCTATCAATTTCGAGATGAGCGACCTTGGACTGCTAACCTATTATTTGGGAATTGAAGTTTTGCAGAGAGACGATGGGATCATACTCAAGCAAGATAGATATGCTAGAAGAATACTTGAAGAAGCTAAGATGAGTTCGTGTAACTTAACTCATGTACCACTTGAGTTAAACGCAAATCTGTCTAAGGCAACACATGAAGACAGGATCGATGAAAGAGAGTACCGCCGCACTATTGGATGTCTCAGATATTTACTACACACACGACCAGACCTATCTTTTAGTGTGGGGGTTCTCAGCAGGTATATGCAAGAACCTAGAATGTCTCATGGTGCAGCTTTGAAACAGGTTATGAGGTATCTTCGTGGTACTTGTACTCGTGGTCTACACTATCGGAGAAACAACAGCTTTGATCTTGTGGGTTATAGCGACAGTTCTCATAATGTTGATAATGATGATGGTAAAAGCACAACCGGACACATATTTTACCTTGGGGAAAGTCCAATCACGTGGTGCTCAACGAAGCAGGATATTGTGGCATTGTCATCGTGTGAGGCAGAATTCATGGCTGCTACAGAGGCAGCAAAGCAGGCAATATGGCTACAAGATTTATTGGGAGAAGCCGTTGGTGAAGATAGTAACAAGGTTGTGATAAAAGTTGACAATAAATCTGCAATCGCTTTGTCTAAAAATCCTGTGTTTCATGGCCGGAGTAAGCATATACACAGACGGTTTCACTTCATAAGAGAGTGTGTTGAGAACGAGCAAGTAGAAGTGGTTCATGTCTCAGGTAATGAACAGAAGGCTGATATACTTACTAAGTCACTTG